TGGACTACAGTGGGGTAGTGTAAGCCCAATAAATCCTTTCCTCCCCAACTTGCTTTTGGTCATGGTATTTCATCACAGTAATAGTAACATCAACTAAGACAATCATCTAATAAAAGAAAATTCTGTGTGATCTATCTGTGGAGCATAGAAAGCCATGGAGAAAAGCAAAATTAAGGTACCCTTCATATTGTAAAGAAAGCACAAAACTGCAGGTTCTTCTCAGGAGAATGGGAGATGTCTTGTCGACCTGCAGCTGAGACTCAGGTCTGTTCAAAATGTGAGTCTTCTGGCTTCAGCTGAAAGGTGGTTGTGGTCCAGCATCTCTGTTCTAAGAAGTTAGGAGTCTCTCAAAGATGTGCAGCTTATTAGAAAACTTCATGTGTTTGGGGAAGAACAGCACATACTGCTAGTCATTGCAGCTTCCATGTTGGTCGTTTGAGACCTGGAAAGGCACTTCTAGTTGTGTTGATATGAAGAGTTTGACTTCTGTACAGAAATAAACAAAAATACAAATGCGTATTCATCAAATATTACAGGTAACTATATTATCCTCATAGATAAGCTAAAGAAAATAGTGAACACCACAGCTTGCTTATGGTTAGAATTAAATTATGGTGGGAGTGAAGAAATGTCTTCCAGTGTATATACTCAGTTAAATTTTGACTATTAAAATCTAGACAGATAGGGCGGGGAGGCAAAAGAAAAAAAGACTCCCAAATTTAAAGTGTGTTATAGAAACTCAAACAATCCAGTCACAGCAAATACAGGGAGATTCCTAAATATGTTACTGTTAACACACAAAGAACAAAGTTAAAAAGAAAATATTTTAGGCAATGAAACATCTTCTTACTACATACAATACATAATAAAGCCTTTATCCAACATTTATTGAACTCAATGTTAACTACAAGCCAGTGGAATGATGTACTAAAAGCAGAAAGGTCAAGTCAGAAAGGGATCTGTTCTTAGAATATTGACTCTTCAAATAACAAAAACAGCACAATCACAAATAAGGAGAATATTTCTGCAGGAAATTAAAGAAGAAACATTATTGGCCACACTTGTGATTAAGGCCTTTAGTCCCAGCACAAAGGCAGAGATAGTTAAATCTCTGTGAGTTCAAGACCAGCCTGGTCTACATAGGAATTTCCATGCCAACTGGGGCTCTATAGTGAAAGCCTATCTCAAAAAACAAACAATTAAATGAGAAAGAAAGGAAGAATGAAAGAAAAGAAAGAAAGAACGAAGGAAGGAAGGAAGGAAGGAAGGAAGGAAGGAAGGAAGGAAGGAAGGAAGGAAGGAAGGAA